TAAGGTCGGCATTGCTTGAGATGGCGATCAGCCAACCACGTCACCATTATCCGTTGCGCAATGCTGTGCGGTCGCTGTGAAGCGGAAGATGCGGTGGTGCGCCGTTGCAAGAACGGCGTGGCGTTGTGCCGACAGTGCTTCGTCGACGCGTTCGAGGAAGACGTTCATCTGACCATAGTGCAGGAGGGCTTCTTCGACAACGGCGACACGGTGACCATCGGCGTGTCCGGCGGCAAGGATTCGGCCGTGTTGTTGCACACGCTGTACGTGCTCAACAAGCGACACAACTACGGCCTGAATCTGTTGATGGTCGCCGTCGACGAGGGCATCGTAGGCTACCGAGACTCCTCGCTGAAGTCCGTCTACAGGCAGCAGAAAAGGTAGTGCAGGTGTCATCGTCGGTCATGCACACTCAGTCAAGAGGGCTGTTTTAATTTTGCTTCCGACACAAAGTACTAACAGTCGAATAGATATTCAAATCATTTCCGTTTTCATAAGTGTAAAAATCACATGATTATTCGCAGGTATTAGGCTTAGTGGTGGTCAGTCATATAATTGTAACTTATCACAGATTATATGCGGCAGTATCATAAAGTAGGTAAAGTGGAACTAGCTATTTCAGTACCACTCATATCACCAATTTTTCATAGCACAGTTCGATAGTCGAATCAGCGAAACCGGTCATTCATTCATTCAGTCAGTCAGTCAGTCAGTCAGTCAGTCAGTCAGTCAGTCAGTCAGTCAGTCAGTCAGTCAGTCAGTCACTCCCAGTCAGTCAGTCAGTCAGTCAGTCAGTCAGTCAGTCAGTCAGTCAGTCAGTCAGTCAGTCAGTCAGTTTTTATAACCTCTTATGGGACATCCTTTCGGGTCACGGATGCAGATGCATCACAGAGTGTCTCCAGCGCTCCTCGTCACCAAATGCCAGCGTTTGAGCTTCAGCAAAAGATAACCTGAATCTGGAGCAGAGTCCTTTTAGACCCTTGTCCGAGGTTCTTCTTGGCCGTCGGGATCGTCGACTGAGCAGTCGAACAGATAGTCGGTATTTCGCCTTCCTTTCTGAAAGCGTTTCCAGCGCAGACCATCGCTGCTGTAACTTCTCACTCTGAAGCTGCAGAGAATGGCACCAAGGTCCTCCTGGTTGTCCATACTCCGGACGATGTGAACCCAACGATTCGTTTTTTGCAACCCATTTAAGTCGCTTGTACATAAGATCCACGCTTTTCGCCATGGACCACGGCTTGACTGTACGTAAGCATGGGGTTAAAGATGGACTTGAACATCGAGAGCTTAGTTTTCAGACTGAGCTCTGCTTTAGTCACAGAGGATCGGGCTACTTCAAGCAGAGCGCCACTGGCTACTCCAATTCGCCGGTCGGTCTCTTCCTCCAATTTTCGATCACTGGTAAATACAATTCTGAGGTACTTGAACTTCACCTGCTCCACTGCCTCTCCGTTAATCTGAAAAGAGCAATGGGCAGGAGATCGAGAAAGC